CATTATGTTGCTGTGTGTCCTGTCATTTTTCCTATAAAGAATTGCTGCTAGTACTGACAGTGATAACAAAAACCAGTTACTAATAATAGCAGCAGTATCCTGTACTCTTGTCCTTCTCATTGCGTCTGGTTTCATAAGCTTTGTCTTTGCAATGATGCAATGAAAGTAATACGTTCTTACAAGTCCAGATCGAGGTGTGACTGTAAATGACCTCTTAAACTACAACCAGTGATGCAACTGAAAGAAATATCCAAGGCGCATCTTAGAACACATGTAACGGGAAGCAATGATCAGTATATCTCACCCCCTTTTATAGACACAAAGGCATTTATATCCTAGAAAATGTTTCTCTAGACAGTAGTTGTGCTGTGAAAAAATGAGGCATGCTGCATTTTTTTCCAGCGCACTGGATGCCACCGCAGGTCACCACGCTTCTGTGTGGTGACCTGAATAGTGTACAGATTATACACTACCAATAAAGTTGACATCCGCGGTGTTAAACCCCCTTCCCATCCAGGCCATTTTTCAGTATTCAGCGCTGCGGTACTTTGACTGACGTTTATTCCGTCATGCAGCGCTGTACTGAAAATAATTTTATACCCTTTTTTGGGGACAGATAGAGCTTTCTTTTGGTGGTATTTATTCACCACTGGGGTTTTTATTTTTTTTACTATATTAAGGAAAAATTACCGAAATTTAAAAAAAAACAAACAGTTTCCCCTATATTAAATGATAAAAACATTTATTATTACCAAATTTTTTGGTAAAATATAAAAGACGGGATCATGTCGGATAAAGACACCAAACATGTCGAGCCTTAAAATTGCATGCGCGCGCGAAACCTCAAAAAACGATAATACCCAAAATTGGCCATAGGCGACGCTTTAAAAGCGGTTACTGCTCATCAGTTTAGTGTTATCAGTGATTGATGGCCCTAAAACGATTTCTCTCACTGCGACGTTCGCGGCGATATGTAACATGTGTAGCGCAATTGTAATTTTTGCGCGCTGGGGCTCCGGGGGAACCGGTGGCGGCGGCCGCGCGGGGGGGGGCGGACGCGAACGAGCACATATAGACGATCAGCTGGCTATGGAGCCGCTGATCGCCTATATGTGAAACACCCGGTAACGGGTGTGTGCAATGGTCGGGTCTTTTCTGCCTGTGCGTGCCCGCTAGAGGGCGCGCGCGCGAGCAGAAAAAAAATGCCGTCTGGCGAAGGCAACCCGCCAATGCAGCAGTGCCGTCCGTCCGTTTTTTTACTACGGGCGGACGGCAAGAGGTTAAAAAATATAATGTATACATTGAGAGCTCCAGCACCGTGTGATACAACACACACTGCCCGAGCTGCCACAATACAACACACCAGCCCGCCCCCTAAACACAGCATTTTAGCGGAAAGGCTAGCGTAAATGAGCCCTGACTTAGAACAAATATGCAGATTAGGAATTCTGACTTGATTTGCATGCTCGTTCCAAGTCTCAGAAAGTACAGAAGCCAGAGAGAGCCAGACATCTAGCATTTTCAGACGGAAGCCAGCATTAGCAGCTTCCACATTTCATTTAGTTGCAGCTTTTTAAATGCAATTCTGTTTGTAATGGAATTTTATTGATATCAGCCTCCTGTAATAACCTGTGCAGCAGTGCTCAGACTGGGAGAGAGAGGGAGCAGTGGGAGACAGTAATTTATTTTACAATGTTGATTAAAATTTAGTTTGATATTAATGTTTGATTTTGGAATGAATGGAGCTTCCCAAAAGAAAACTACATTTACTGTTAGAATTTCATTTGTTCAAAAAAAAGTTTTCCCTCCTGCTCCTTCGAGTTTTGTCATCACTACGGTCGAAATTGATAATCGATTTGACCTTATCAACTAATAGAAAGTGGAAATAAAGTTATTTCAAAATAAATATTCTTTTGAAAATCTAAGCAGTGTATGGCCAGCTTTAGAGCCAGTGTAAGACACTGCAGGTGTCTCATGCCAGCTCTATCATTTGAGAGCTCAGCTCACGTTCTTCCTGCAGAGAACGATACCTAGCAGTCATTCCCCGCAAGGATTCCCATCTCAATTTCTCCAGCACTCTCATTGGAGGGACAGCAGGGTGTGGCCTTAGAGAGGCAGAGCCAGCTGTCAATCAGGCAGCCGGGTGGATCCTGACAATGTTTTCAGGATCCTTCCCGGGGCTGCAATGAAGCTCTACGCTGTCAGCATATAGTGGGCAGTAAAGCCGGGTATACACACTTCGAATATCATCCCGTTCTTGATGAACCAGCTGAAATTCAATGCGCTGGTGCTGATAATTATGACGATAATGAGGTTTGAGCCTATTAATATTGAATATTAAATTATCTTGTCCCCCAGCCTGAATGCGGCCTTTTATTTAGTTGTAGTGACCTAAGGATGCCCTCAGTTGGCCAGGTCTTTTCAAGTTCCAAAAAAACAGAGATGTGCTAATTTGGGCCTGTAATCCTTATAGTTCTCAAGTGAAGCACTAAAACCAATGGTTATCTAGAGTTTCCTCTGGTCCCGTCGTTAATAAGTTTAAGTGATACCTTTATCATTGGGATCGTAAATTCCACATAGGCCTGGTAAGGATAATGACCCAGGTGACCTCAGAGTCACCCTTAAGTCATAAAACTACAAAATCAACCCAATTTCATAACTTGGAATTGGACAGTGATTTTGTAGAATATCTTGCACACATAGCTGGGTCTCAAGACGAGAACATACATACCAAGAATGGGCCAATTATGATGGTCCAGGGCCTGATAAGTAACATTAAACCTCCTTGGCAAGGCATATGTCATACAACTACCAAATTTAGACTTGATTAGAAGCTAATTTAATGAAACACAATAATCCATAGCCTATTTAGGATTAGCTCATGATCCTAAAGGAATATGATTATGGAAATGAACGTTAACCGTTTGGGAGGAGCAGAGGGGGACATTGTAAAGGTTTAGCCCTCCTGCTCTGCTCTCCAGCCCTGTCATAGGGGCTGGCTCCGTGACACCTCCTAGAGGGCTGACCAAAAGGTGCTGCAAAGGCAGCTAGAGGAGCCTCTTGTGTTAACATCAAGAAGAGTGACTCCTGCAACATCAAGAAGTTCATAACATCCCAGAAGAATTCCCCTTTAATATCTGGAAATTATCTGTGCAAGCCTTATTTGATGAAGAGCCATTTAGACCCCTCTTTTGTTTATTGAACTGGATTCTGTCAGAACTCATAAACCCAGGACCGTTGAGTACTGCCTTTTTATTCCTTTTTATTTTACTGTTGTTATAGATTTGTCTCTTTTAACATCTCTTTTCTGTATATTTTTCTGCACCGTTTCTTTTATTAAAGGACGATCTTAAAAATCGTTAAGCTTATCTCTATGCTCTAAATAAGAACTTACAGCGGAGCAGACTAACAAGATACTGAAGCTTGGCCCAGTGGGAGATTCCTCCATCCACAAAGCTTAGCGTAGATAGAGGAATCTGTTGCACTTTTTCCATCTGACCATAGAAAATCTGCAGATAATTTATAGGTGTATGGCCAACTTAAGGCAGCATAGGCTCTGTATAGAAAAAAATACTTGTTCCAGCCCTGGTCCCCTCCACTGGACGTCCACCTCTACCGTCACTGATCATCATAATTCATTTTTAATTATCGTTTGCATTTTATTCATTATGGGTGTAAGTGGAGGCCCAAAATTTAAGTTTCGCCTAAGGCCTCAAAAAGTCTAGAGCCGCCTCTAGACAGCAGTATTATGGGCTTTGTTTAAGTGTTATGAATTGTCATAGCACTTGCTGAGATAGGTGCGTGCTTCCATTAAAGCACAAAGTGGCAGCTGATGTTTGGTGTGAAGGGTTAACTGCGGAGTTAACCGACTCTAGTGATGATCGCTTTCAGTCTGCTGGCCTGAGATTGTTGTCCTGCGAGCGTCTTTTGTCTAAGCAGCATGTTCGAAAATTTTCGGCTGGTTTGTGGTATGCTCGTGAGACAAATGCCGAATGGGCCGGTGCCCGTTCAGCATTGCGGTCATCGGAAGCCCGCCTCTCAGCGGGGCGGGCTTGCGATGATCGCAAGTACGATCTGCCTGTTCAAGGTGGGCAGATGGTACGTTTTTTTAAATTACTTTACAACCATCGCAAGACTAAGGTCTTGCGATGGTTGTAAAGTGTATGGGCACCTTTAGGCTGAGAGTGGTATCACCACGTCCTTGTGACGCCATGCTCGGTTTAGAACTGCGTATAGTCACGTGTGATTGACATCGAGCAGGTTCGGATCGGGCGCTTACGTCACAAGGAGTACATTAGTAAATGTACTCCTGTCACCCAAAAGAGAACTAAAGCCAGAAAAAGTGTCACTAAAATCAGAAGTTAAATTATAAAATTTCATTCAAGTACCTTAACTATTAACATCTCAAATCATCTCTGAATTGGTGCTGACACTGTCCTTCCTTCTGGAGGGTGACTACTTTTGTTCCCCATGTGTGTTGTAAAGTAGTCACGACTCCAAGCCTACCCCGTGATGGACTACAATCTCAATACAAATTAGTAAACTAAACGTGAGATTGTAGTTTATGGGAGCGAGCTTGGAGGGCTCAAATGGGGAACAAAAGTAGTCACCCTCCAGAAGGAAAGACAGTGTCAGCACCAATTCAGAGATGATTTGAGGATCTACTGCTAAGTAATGCACAAAAAAGCTATATTTTTGTTAATAGTTAGGGTGCTTGAAAGCATTTTTAAGATTTAACTCCTAAGTTTAGTATCACTTTAAGAGATATGAGGTGGTGATGTATCAAAGAAAAAACACCAGAACAAGTTAAAAACAGCTTTTTGATTTAAGCTCAAAGGGTTATTTACCTCCTTAAGGGCCCCCACCTCAGTTTACAATCGTCATCTAGGTCTGGGCGTGACAGACAATCTCCTTCACTTCCCACATGTAAACACACGCAGCTGCTAGAGTTTAAACATCAGTCTGTAGCTGACTACAAGCAGAAGAGGGCTCTTCCTTGTCCTACAAACAGTCCATTCTTTGTAATCTACTAGAAGTATGGCGGCAGAACCAGAGCAAATACCAGTCCCAGGAACAGAGCCTGCATCACCGGGTCCTAAAGTAAGTATTTGTTCTAGATCTGCTCAGTCTCACCCAGCTCTACTTGCATGTAGAAAAGTGTAATAGAAAGTTGACTCCAAAAGGCTTACTATATTTACAAAACAATATCCATTCAGACCTAAAGCTTTATTAATCTACATGTAATTCTATTTGGATGCTTAGAATAACAAAGAAAAAACCAGAATCAACGCACTGAGCTATTAAGGCAGCCATAGACATGAGAGATCTGGACTGATATGCAGACAGAATTTGACCGTCATCACAGCTCTGTGCAAACTGTTAGCGCTATATATATATTTTTTAATAATAGTCAATCATCTGAATATTCTGATGCTTCCAAAAACATGATTACATTGTGCAAATATCTGTGTTTAGACAGTGGAGAGATTGAGAATACACTTCTGATACTGGTTTATCAGGGGGCAAACAATGGCGACTGTACAAACCGCCGGGTCCGCTGGTACCTGCACCCATCCACGCCAGAAGCCTTGGGGTTGCACTGGCTGCTTTTCCAAGCACAACCTTAATGGACAGACAAGACAATTCACCTTTATCTAAATTGGTGCAGTTCACACCACTGTGTTCCTGTGGTGTGCGTTGAAAAAGCACTGCATTGCACTTTGCAAATACCTCCACATTGCATCGCACTTTGCAACTAGAAGTTCTATTTCAATATAGATATAACAAGCTATTAGGTTATAACAAAAAAAATTAAACAGTCTGATGCGTCAGGATTGGTGCATGAACATTTTGCCCGTCAGTGCACACTAGCAGCCATGCGTTCAGTGCGACTTGCTGGTGTGAACGGACTCTAAAGGACAATCATTTTCAGCCTGAATAAGGGTCATGTAAGGTCTGTGAGCACCTTCCTTTTACTAACAATAATTTGCACAACACTTTGTATCATACTCCTGACCCTGTCTGTGTACAAAGTATTTTATTATGCATACATTTCACTTCTCAGATGTGCCAGAAAATTATAAAAAAAAGAAACCATTTAATCTCTACAATTTTATGTTGTCGTTTAAAAAAAACTGCATGCAAAAATTCCTGGTGGACTTGTAATTGTCTTTGATGGCACTTGTAGGAGGGTTTTTTTTTATAATGCAAACCTGCAGTCATGTGCTATTGTTCCTTTTAATACTTATGCCTGGGGGGAAGGGGGAACGTGGAAGAACATTAACAGGGTTATGCACAAAAGGGTGACGAGTTTGGAGAAGACAGGAGAAGTGAACAATCCAGGGCGAAATAGCTGATTTGGAAAAGTTATCCAATTCAGCTCACTTTCCAGTTCGGCTATGTTGTCCTAGATTGTTCACTTCTCCAAACCCCTTAGAGAATGACCCTCTAAGAGATTACAATGCAAACATTTCTATTAATAATATTATTTTTTGTCTTGCCTGTTTTTATCATATGATTCAGGTTTATAGGACAAATTTGATTATTATGAAACATTATAAACTAAAATGTTGATACCAATTTTGATGAGATGGACTCACATGGGCTTAGTAGATCACAGCATCACCATCATCATATTGGTGATCAGGTAATGTAGGGTTAAAAACCAATGTGTTCATGGTTATTAAAGGAAGTTGTCTGATTTTTTGCTTTTAGTGTTCATATATAAAAAGTGTTCTTTAAATACACACTACAACCCTTTGCTTGTAAGAAATCTAAAGGTGCCCATACACTGTACGATTCTCGTACGAGAATCGCGGGAAATCCCGCGATCGTACAGTGTATGGAAGGCGTGCGACCGTTTCTACTGTACGGTCGCACGTCTTCCATCGAACAAGCATGCTGGAAAACCCGCCGGGAATCGTACGATTCTCGGCGAGTGAGTGGCCTGCTTGTTCGACAACTGACGAACGGGCCGGTGCGCGCATGCGCACACTGCCCGTTTGCCGTCCTTGCAAGCCCGCCCCTCATTGCAGTCATTGCAAGCCCACCCCTCAAGGGTGCGGGCTTGCGATGATCGCAAGTACGATCTGCCTGTCCAAGATGGGCAGATCGTACGTTTTTTTAAGTACTTTACAACTATCGCAAGACTAAGGTCTTGCGATGGTTGTAAAGTGTATGGCCACCTTTACACTCTCACCTACACACAGAATTACATTATAAACCATGTGGACTTTGCTTGACCTCTCCAAACATGCCCTAACTGACCATTATTGGGAGAAGAATCAATCAGCTTGCCTGGATTTTCCTGCCCATCCTTTTTTTTTTTTCTTTTTTTTTTTCTCCTGAAATAAGCCAACGATAGGGATATCTTTCAGTATCTCTTTTTGCGCCTTCAAAGGTATAAGGCCTTGTTCACACCAAATGCAGACCAGAACTGCATGAGTTTCTGCACACGCAGTGCAGTGGTTTGTGCCGTGTTTTTTGATGCTTTCCGGGCCGTTTTTGGTTAAACAAAAAACAAAAAACACTTGATTACATTGTGCAAATATCTGTGTTTAGACAGTGGAGAGATAGTTTAGAATGGGCTTTCAGTGTGTTCCAGGGCGTTTGCATGTGTTTTTGATGCGTTCCAGAGCAGGTAAAATAGGGCTTGCTGCAGTTTTTTTACATGCTCTGGAATTGAACGCTGCGGTGTGAACTAGAGCCCAAAATACCATTGGAATACATTGGACGCAGTTTTGATCCGGTCTGTAACTGCTCTGCTCCTGGAACTTGCTTGGTGTGAACAAGGCCTAAACATGCACACTCAGCTGAACTGAGCTTTACAGTTTACTCCACCAATATTCCATATACTGTATTATATAAATATAACACTTTGGATCACGTGAAAATGTTACTATACACTAAGGATGCACAGATACTTTTCGAGTACCAGTGCAGATACTTGGCATTTCCATGAGAACTACCGGGGTTGCAGCTGGGACCTGGCTCTGGCACTCCGCCACTGCCCTGAAATCATTAGTCTGTATTGTTTTAGAAAAACTGTCACATGGCAATAAACAAAAATGTATCAGTACTCGTACTTGTAAGTACTCGGCAAGTACCAGTACTCGTACTCGCAAAACTGGTATCTGTGCATCCCTTTATTTATATGTTTAAAAACAAAATCGTACATTAAAACCGAGATGTACAAATCCCAGGCGCTCCGTGTGCTCCTTACAAATGACAGCTGCCTCCTAATTTTTGCATTTTTCTCTAGTCTAGTCTTGGAGCTCCAAAGTATCGGTACATGTACTCGTACTTGTACCGAGTACTGTACTTGGTATCTGTGCAACCCTACTATACACCATGCAATCTGTATAATATCACCATTCAGCCCCAATCATTTCTTTTGATATTTGTTATGGACAAAGATAAAACAATTTATATGTTAAGCAATAAACATTTGGTTAGTAAGAAATATGGAACAGAACTGGAATCGGCATGTTGCAGACAGATTAAATGGTTAACCAGTACAATGAGGCTGCAGAAGTTTGGTTAGTGTAAGTCAGTCTGCTTCGTGTTATACAGTAACCTTTCACACACTTCAGCTCACTGTAGTAAAGGGTGCGGAATGTCCTTTGTGTTCTTGTGTCCTCATAAATACAGAGCTGCAAGGCAAACATTCAGCCACAACCAGACTCGCTATAAGATTTTTATTTACTGTTGATGTAACACAAAATGTAACTTGGAACATCAATGGGCTTGCCATGTCACCTGGTTAGTAAACCTATATTATTTTTTAAATTCAAAAAAATTAAACATTCATCCAAATCTTTACGGAGGATATTTTCAGGTATAAAGGTGCCCATACACCTTACAACCATCGCAAGACTTTTGTCTTGAGATGGTTGTAAGCTAATTAAAAGCTTGTACGATCTGCCCATCTTGGACAGGCAGATCGTACTTGCGATCATCATTGAAAGCCTGCCCCGCTTGAGGGGCGGGATTCCGACGACCGCAATGCTGAACGGGCAGTGTGCCTGTGCGCACACCGGCCCGTTCCGCAGTTGTCGAACGAGTACGCCACTAACCCGCCAATAATCGTACGATTCTCGGCAGGTTTTCTAGCATGCTCCTTCGACAAAAGACGTGCGACCGTACAGTAGAAAAGGTTGCAGGCCTTCCATACACCTGCCGATTATCGTACGATCGTGGGATTTCCCGCCATTATCGTACGATAATCGCAAGGTGTATGGGCACCTTAAGACTCATTCACATGGGTGTACACGGCTCTGCAGGAACCTGCTCCCAGAAAGGACAGGTGGCACGTGTAATTGCATGTAGCTGTCTGTAACTCCGTATGGGAGGATGCAGCAGCTAGTGGCTACGTGCTGACTCGAACCTGTACATCTATGCAGGTTCGAGTCGGTGTGCAGCTGCGTCCTCCGATTGGGAGGTACAGGTGACTGCGCGTAATTACACGCAGCACAGTCCCTACAGGGACCAGGTCTCTGCAAGAGCATGCATGCCATACAGATGTGCACACCTGTGTGAATGAGCCCTATATCTGAAAATCTCCCAACATCTACTGAGCCAGCTGAAGTGTCTGTTAGTGTCTAATGGAATAAGGGAAAGTATAATAGGAGAGGTGGGCTATCTTACAGCAGAGAATATGACAGAGCCCACTGCCCATCCTTGTCAGGAAGTATTAATCTGTTCCCATTTCACATTACATATCTTTATGGGCCCTTGTAACTTAGTTTTGCAGTCATGTAAGCTAAGAGGAGTAACTCAGAAACACATTGTGCCTGGAAAGATCACTAAAAATAACCGGAGCACATGGCAAATGACAGACGCAATCTGAATGCCTTGGCCTATACTATTTTCTATTGCACAATAGTTGGCCGCTCTACATACATAAAACAGGGATACAAATGTTAAGGTTTTTTTGACATTATTGTAACAGAGAAAATTTTAAATAAAAAAGGACCAACCGTGATTTTAGTGCAATATAGTGCTCATCAACGTAGGGTATATCGGGGCTTGATGTGTATTCTCTGATATAGGAGTGGAGAGTGCCTGGTCTTCACCTGGAAATCCCACATGAAACTGTAACTTTAGCTTCTTGACATTATTGTGTTGTGGCCCTGGGCTTGCTTCACTTTGGATAATGGACAGGCAACTATGACTAAGGGCCAATTCATCATCAGGCATAGTCTGAAAGCAAAGAGTAGTCGGGGCAGGCAGTGTTTAGGCAGAGTTGTATCATAAAGAGAAGGTTGCAGCGCACAATGACGGGAACAGTGGAGCAGGCTGGGATTATAATGAGAAAAGTACACGGTATTCACAAATCAGAATATCACAGTGCTTACAAGAACAGCAGGAATGTTTTTTTTTCAGCACTGTCTGTGTGCATGATTGGAATTTCAATCCAGCACTGGGTGATGTCACACTTTATCATGCATGTGACAACAAACTGTCATTTAAATGAACTAGCCAGTGCCTTGGTGCATGTCTGCAGTGAATGTTCCTGGCCATGGCAGAAGATGAATGATCGTGTTTAATCTACATGGCAGGTCCTCTTGTAGTTCCTTATACGATGCCTAGAGATTCATGCAATTGTTTCACAGGCACTATCTAGTACTGAAACCACTGTTCTAGCTTTCTCTGTTCTCCTCTTCACCAAAAGCTGAGTTCTCCAGTAACATTTCCATTTGTCTGATCCGATACCAGAGAAACCTGCACATTATCACTGTTTCTATTATCGCCTCACCTAGACCTTAGACCAGGGGTAACCAAACTCCGGCCCTCCAGCTGTGGTGGAACTACAAATCCCATGAGGCATTGGAAGATTCTCACAGCCACAGACATGACTCCCGGAGAGAGATGCATCATGGGATTTGTAGTTTCACCACAGCTGGAGGGCCAGAGTTTGGCTACCCCTGCCTTAGACCTACACAACTTGCTCTGGTTTATATGAGCAACTGTGATGCTTGTATCGATTTGTCATTTTTGGTCCATTACAGTGAAATGTACTCTCCTGTGTATGCATTGCATTACTTTCTATGTGTTCTTTATACCGCATTGTATGAATCTTGCAAAAATTCTAATAAAAATTGATTTAACACTAATCTATATGGCAGGACAAAGGGTAGCAGCTGCCCTAGTGAGCTTTTTATTCTTCTTACAACATAATTGTGAAACATTTCATTACCTATGCAGATGCATTTAAATACATAGTGGTAACTAATGATAGTATTTATTTCACATATTTGTGTTTATACATTTTATATAGGTTGGGGTGGGGGCGTTAGTAGTCATTTAGATGTTTTGTTCGTTTTGGATCGCATTGGGAAAGGTTTTAACTGCTACCTGGAGCTCTGTTAAAGAGATTTCCTCTCGCTTTCTTTCTGGGGACTACCCTTCCCCTTTTCTCCTCCAACCCTGCTACCCCCACCCCCCTTTTTTTTTTTTTTTTTCTCCTGAGAGCAATAGAACCTGAAAAGCATTCTAATCCTTTCCCATTATTTTAAAAGTAAATACTTAGGGTATAGATGCACTATGTCACAATGATGACCTGGGCTGTGTAGGTGACCTCCTCTGTCATATGCAGCATAATGCTTTAGAACAGTGGTTCTCAACCTGTGTAACTTCAGGACCCACATTTGTCCTTGGTCATAAAGTCGCGACCCAAGTCGCACTGCACTGGAACGCAGGGCGTGCGGAACTGCTCGTTCCAGTGTGGGCAACTGTTGGCGGGAGGAGCATTTGGGGTACCATTCAAATGAATGGCAAGGCAACGCACCTCCAACACCAAAATGCGTGCTCGGCGCGTTTGTGTGGCACAGTTCATTAGTTGCATGGGACTGTGTGATTATTGCACTGTACTAGTGTAAATCGGCTCTCAAAAACACTGACGGACACAATTTCACACACTTGCAGACATTCTCACACCATCCACACTCCAAAAATGTTTTTATATTTTCTTTAAGATCCACCCAGTCTCCCTATCTTGTAGTGGATCCTGTGTCTGGGGTCCAGTGTGTGCTGTTGTGCTGTGACTGAGCTCAATCCATATGTGCATTGCTTGTACAGCTCCCTTGCACACACTGTAGAGGTGCCAGGAGCCAGAATGTGACATCACTCTGTTCCATAATCCTCTTGTCCCATCGCACTCCTGACCGGAAAAAAACTAAATTCAACTAAGCGGGTGCGGTGGTGACAACGGATGCCTCTGCAAAATGTAGATAGATGAAAATAGTCACTCACACTCCATAAGTAGTAAAGTCAATGCTGTTTATTGACTGTGATGGTACACATCTCCTAAGCAACGTTTCGGGACCGTGCGGCCCCTTCCTCAGGCAAACAGAGCCTCTCCAACAGAGCCCCTGACAGCCTGTACTGAGGAAGTGGCCGCACGGTCCCGAAACGTTGCTTAGGAGATGTGTACCATCACAGTCAATAAACAGCATTAACTTTACTACTTATGGAGTGCAAGTGACTACTTTCATCTATCACTCTGTTCCAGGCATCTCTAGAGGGCACACAAGGGAGCTGTAAGCAATGCATGTATGGATGGATGGAGCACTCTCATGCCCATACTCCCAGCCCACCCCAAGCTGACACTCGGCGCCAGGCAGCATATTTTCAATGGCTGCTCGGCACGAGAACTTACAGTGCTGCACTAGGGGGAGGCAGAGGAGCCTCTTGCCTAGAAAAGTGGAAGGCACGCGGTGAGCCACTGAACACGGGGTTGCGACCCACTTTTTGGTCACGACCCACCACTGGAGAACCAAGGCTTTAGAGTATAATGGTGTATGGTGCTTCACGCGACATTTCTTATGTGCATATTCACCCAGTAGCACTGCATCAGATGCATCCTACCAATACATTTATAGTTTCTGTACTACCTCTGTGGATTATGTAGTGGGATAAAGAGTAATTGGATTCAACCATTAAGAAAATCAAGATGTATTGTGTAATTTCACATAGGAGGCAGAACAAGGTAAATCCATCTGGAATGAAGTGGAAGAATCTCTCCAACAGAGCCCCTGACGGCCTGTACTCAATCCTTTCCAAGACTGCTGATTCAGCAAAACAGTGGGGTAAAAAAGGTGGGGAAGTTGTGATTGCCGAGTACTTCATACTCGTAGCATATGCCAGTTTTACAAAAGCATAGTTGCACGCTATATTTTGAATACTTTGTACATCGCTGTGTATTAATCAGTGTTTTTTTTCTTCTACAGAAGTGCCCCTTTACACCTGTACAAAGGCAAGAACTTAAAAAAATCATCAAGGAATGCAAAGAGGAAAGCTTTTGGTACAGAGGTAATTTACACACTTCTATAGCTTGGTCACATTAGCACTTTTATATATGTCCTGCAACAACCTCAATGGCACCAGCCTAACTTTGGAGAAAAGATCCCTCAGTTCAAATGGTTACTAGCTGCTTATATTTATCCATCGCAATGATCAAAAAACTAAATATGTATATCTATATTGAATTTCCATAGGTTCTATCCCACTCCTAATAACCATATTGATTTTAGAAGGTTGTAAACTTATTGAAGATGTACTTCCGCAACGCAGTGACACAATTTCACTCAGCCCTGTCTATATGCACTTTCTTGTGTCACCACTCTAAAGGTGCCCATACACCTGACAATTATCAAACGATAATCGTGGGTGATCCGGCGATCGTACGACAATCGGTAGGTGTACGGACAGCGTGCGACCGCATTTACTGTACGGTCGCACGACTTTCATCTTGCGAGTACACTAGAAAACCTGTAGAAAATCGTACGATTTTTGGCCAGTTGGTAACGTCCCACAATGTACCATATCATTGCTTGCCTGAAGCAATGCATGATGGGGTATGAAGTCTTGAGAAATTGAGATTGCATCACACCAAGCAGCAGGGAAAGAGACTCAAAGCATGCTGGGAATCCAGAAAGTTGATGAAAGTGATGGGCAGACCAAAGGCAGCACTCACTACATAAAAGGGATTATTCAAGTAAGCTTTAATTACATCATCAAAAACAACTCCAGTATGTATTTCTTTTACAATGCTGATGTTATAACAGGAGAGTGCATGCTGGGGGGGGGGGGCACCACCTCTATCTACTTAAATTGCTCCCAGAAACATATCGGCCCTGTTTGAAACCCCAAAGAGAATACTAATTCTAAAAATGGTTTATGATAAAGCCCCACTTTCTTGGGAAGCAGAACTTTAAGGTCCATATTGGCGTAATTCACAGGATCAATGGGGTGTGAGCACCGGTCCCCCTAGAAGTCTTGGAACAGGGTGCAAATGGGCCTTCATTCATCTATCCTTACTCATTAAAGAGGAACTTTACACATATCTTCAAAATAACAACAAAGGCATCTGTAGAAATGTTTAGTAATAACAATCCACAAACAGATACTTCTAGATAATTGGCGGCTCGTTATTTTTTTGCATACCTTGTTTTTTTAGTTCCTCCCCATTATTCTCACAGTAGCCATTTTTACTAAAGGGCAGATGGATTCACCCCACTTTACTTCCTGGAACTCTGGCACATGTGACTAGGTCATGTGACCATGCACATCATCTCAGGGGAGGAAAATGCCTTTCCTTGAGATCATGAGATTTCCCAGGGACCGACTGCTGATGTAACCTTCCCAGGATGCAATGCTTGGGCACATTAGATCACTTTTGCCAAAGAGAACCAGGAAAGAGAAAACCACAAAAAATTGTAAGTAAAAGAAAAATATGTTTGTGCTGCTAATAATGTAAGATGATTTCATGTCAGCATGCAGAGCTGATGTGATTTGTAGCCAAAGAGGTAAAAGTCTACTGTAATGCCTCTCTGTGGTGAATGCACCTTGCAATCTGAATGAAAAGTAATGCCTCAACAAGGTGTAAGTCTTGTTCTTTATATATCCCTGAGACATCCATCAGCCCGCAGAAGTACGTGTGCAGAAGTACGGAGTATTGGCCTAAGCAGGCCAATACTCCGATGTCCCTGGGCTGTCCAAGTGAATCAAGACCAATGAAAAATTAAATCGGAATGTATCAATATACAAATCATTTTTGTTGTCTCTGTGTAAATTACATTTCATTGTTTTATATTCCATTCCTGTGGCTATTTAATCTTTATAGATTCTTTTCTTTATTTCTAACAGCTCTGCCTATTTCTCTTGGTAGCATGCTTGCCACTCAGGGACTCGTTTACAAAGGTCAGTAAATCTTATGCAAGTAAACACCATCTTTGTATTTGGATTGGGGGGTGTAAAGCACACATTAACTTAAAGGAAACATCTTAAAGGAAAAGTATTTGGAGAGTAAAATGTACTCTTCCCAATACTTAGATCCAGCATGGGACACTGCAGCTGTTGCACACTGGCTCTCATGTAACCGCTGATCGCTCCGCTCATGTTCTTCTCCATTCAGAGTGAAGTGACTGTCAGTAACCATTCGCCCTTTCCTTCCCTGTTCCTCCAGCACTCATTTGAGGGACAGACAGGGGAGGGGGCAGGCATGGCTGGCTCTGGTTCTGGAGAGGCAGGTATCAATCAAGCTGTGGGGTGGATCCTGACATTATAATTGGGGGCAGGGGCGTAACTAGAAATCACAGGGCCCCATAGCAGAATTTTGTATGGGGCCCCGTGATTGCTAGTTATGCCACTTGCAGAGCCCACCGAAGAGTGACCCTGCAGAGCCCACCATAGACTCTCTATAGTGGGCTCTGCAGTGTCTGAGATCTCTTACCTGTCAGCGCTATCCGCCTCTGTGGTCCCCGGGCCCCGCCTCCTCTGCTGTTGACGGGCCCCGCCTCCTCTGCTATTGACATACATGCCATAGCGACCCAGGCGGCCCTGGCCGGGCCCCCCTGTGCCCAGGCCCCATAGCGGCCGCCTGGGTCGCTATGGCGATTGTTACGCCACTGATTGGGGGCCTTCCTGGTTGCAGCACGGCTCTGCTCTGTCCGCATATAGGATTAGTGAATGTACTGTTCACTGTAAAATAAGTCAAAAGTAAAAAACATATTCAGTACATCTCAATAGTACATTCACATTTCCTCCATGTTTTATCTCTTTACAAAATGCTGCAAGTAAAAATAAAAAACAACCTGCCAACAATTCTTCATTCAGAGCTGGCCATGACTGCACAGTGAGCCCCCATAGAGTTGGGTGAGGCTGTACTGAGGTCAGCAATGGCAATATCCACATTTATCTCAGTACATGTTCCAAAAGCAAAGGTCTGAATTTTAGCATGACAAGCAGATAAACATTTTTTTTCTCTGTGCAGGATATCTGACAGCAAACAAAAGGTTTGGCTCCCTGCCAAAAGTTGCATGTAAGTATAAAAGAAATACATGCAGACTTAATATTCAATCATTTGCAGCATCTGTATATATGTGAGGTTATATGTTCTATGTGTTCAGACAGAAACGTGTATTGGCCTATCACCTTTTAGGGCTTGTTCACACCAGCCTGCATGCTATAATGTGTAAGCACTGGTGTACATTGTATAGGGAAGGTTAGGTGCATTGTTACAACGCATTGCACTGTTTACTTTTTTTACATTATGTAAGTGTCACAAAAAGACACTTCAATCATCTCTATGCACCGCAGCGTGAATCAAATCGCTGAGATGCGGTGAGTTGCGTTGTGTTAGAAAAAAAACACATACATGCCCTTTTTTTTAATCACCGTTTCTTATGTCTAAATCATATCATTGGTATATTATTATGCTGTTTGCCAAGATCAATGTTATACTGTTCTCTAATTTGAACTCCACTCAGTCGGGAGTGATGTATTTTGTCATCTTTCAGGATCATTAAAGTAGAACTCAGGGTAAAAACATGTTTTTATTAACCCTTCCAGTGGGGCTACCCATACACTGCAAGGTTTAACTGCTCATTTTTGACTAGTGTGGAAAATAGTTACTCACCTGCTCTTAGCCCGGTCCCTGGAGCCTCTCTACCCCTCTGCTCCAATGATCTGAGGTCCTGTAAATCATCGCATTCAATACACATTGAATAGAATGTGAGGATGCGGAGGGACATACCATTGTTGCATCATTAAGAAGAGACAAGCTGGAGGGAGCTCTGTCAGAGCCGTCTGGCTTGGAGGATCTGGTGAGTAACTTTATTTTCCTCTCTAGACGAAAACCAGCACTTAAACTCTTGCAGTGTGGGGGTAGCCCCACTGCAGGGGTTGATAAATGTTTTACCTGGAGTTCTGCTTTAATGAGCAGAGAAAGATAGCTTTTCATTATTTAAAAAAAAAAAAAGTTTTTTGTTTCGGATAGAGTATGGAAAGGCTTAGTATTCTGACTCCGATTGTTGCGATAGTGATATATCCCTTGTTGAGACCTCTGTGCCTGGCCTGTATAAGTAGATTCAATCACTGATGACATTCATTGTCAGATAGCTGAACTCACCAATACCGTGTTCATCCACAAAGGTTGCTTTATTCTGAACGTGAAGACAACAGGATAACAGCGATGAATGGTTACAGTATTATGCGGTCAAAAGATGATGCCTTTCCTAGGGTACTATGCTGAGTACATGTGTCCTGATTACATGTGGCTGTTAGCTGTGGCTATGACACAGGAAATACTGACCAACAAGAAGAAGGGTGGGGCTTACATACAGAGGAAATACATCACAAAGGGAACACAGAACATGTTTGATACCAAGAAAGGCCACTAGATGGCAGCAAAGGAACTAACATATAAAACGTCCATAGAAAATGGTATAGAGAAACAATCTATATAAATTCTCATCTATATAAAACTTTTATGCCCCATTGGGGCGGCACACTTAGAATGTCGCCTATTAGATTTTTATTGCTGACTGAGATTTCTTCAAACTTCTCACCCTCGTGAAACACCACCGGTAGTGAAAATAAATGTTCCACTAGTGAAATGAAGCCTCTACACCACTTCTATTACTTGTTCTTATTTATCCACTGAAACAGCCATAAATCACTTACTAATGTAAAAGTTTTGTCCTGTAATTGAAGTACATAATAAGAACACCTCTCTAGTTTATGTCAAGCCCTTCAACAAATGTCATTTTCTTTCTGATGGTGGACAGACAATACTGTTATAATGGTCAAACTATTCTCCACAATGACTGTACTGTGCCTCTAGTACAAATTCAGGAGCTTGTATGAAGTGACACAGGAAGTCTCGGATATCTGAAAGATTGTTGTGTGTGTAAATTCTTTATTTAATGTTTTGGGTTGGAAAGGAAAGTACAAAAAGAAACGGGGGTTACGTGTATCATAATGACAGTTTATTATACAGATTCTTGTGCCAGGTGAGCCTGTTTAGATGTGTCGTCTTTGCCCATTTAAGTTAATGACGGGGGCCACATCTGTCCGCATCTTTGTGCCTACCAGTTGCCTTTTTGCATACTCCTTTTCAAGAAAATAATTATAAAAATTAGTGGCTAAATCACTGTATGCATAAAGCCTGAGGGGAGCAGAGCACGGAGGGGCTCAGCAGCTCCACCTACTACAGGCTGTGTGCAGAAAACTACAGGAGGAGGCGGAGTCGAGACCAGTCTCCCTGCACAAGAAGAGAGAGCAGCAGTAACCAGTCTTTATTACAGGGGGCTCCTACACAGAGGCAACGTTTCACACGGAATCATTGCACAGATCTGGAAGAAATGCACAAAGCACACCAAAAATTAAGTAATTAAAAGGAGAACTATGGGGTCAGGGCTTTTCCCCATAGTTCTCCTAAGGCGTAACGGGAGGACACAAACTAGCGTCCTCCCGTCACCCAAGCTCAGTATACCGCGAGCTACAGCCAGTTTTGAGGGCAAGTTCAGGTCCATGTGTCAAAGCACATTTTATAAATATGAAGAGGACCTAATACTAATATGAGGACTTGTGTTGCCATTCTGTACAGTGGCCGGTGTCATGGGTTTCTTGATCGGAAAGATTTCATACATAGGAACCTGCCAGAAAAAGTTTAAAAACACCGGAGTGGAAAAAATGTTTGAAGCCGGCTTTGTTCCTGCCATCGGTGGAGGATTTGGTCCAGGATTCTTTGGAAGCCACAAGTGAGTGCTATAATCTCTGCTATGATCAAGAGATAGAGAAACGCTATACAAGGATACTCTGTTTTCATACAAATGTGCTGTCAATTTCTGCTTTCAGTTCTATTCCAATTAATTTCATTCTTATTTATTTCAAGTGTATTTCCATGTTTGCAGCCAAAATTGAGAAAGCCACTACTGTGTTATGTGTTTCTTGTTCACACGGCATATCTAACAATGATATAAAAAAATATATTTCTTGCCTTTTTTAGATGTGTTTGAGTTGCAGGCCTTTGCAAGTTTCCCACTCAATTTCAGTAACGAGAACCTTTTGACTGTCCTAATAGAAAGACTTTATACAGACTGAGCGTCTCCTCATTAACATGCAATAGGGGGAATTTATCATGCCTGGAGCAGATTTGCATTGCAACCAAGGCTTCTATCTCTCATTTTCAAATCCTAACTGAGCAAACAGAGATGCTGATTGGTTGCCACGGGCAACTGATCCAGTTTTGATAAATTCTCCCCACTGTCTTTAACCCTTTGTTAGCATAGACAGTCCTGCTCATCGAGTTTACCAGTGATAATTAAATCTGTCAGCACAGTACAGACAGGGTTAATTATTTGAAACAAAACTCCCTTCCAAACCCCCAGACAGTGGGAACTAAGCAGGATTTTTTCAGTCCTGAAGTTTGAGGAAAGATCATCTAAAAAGGAAGCTGCAATTTATTTTGATAAAGTTATGCCATGCGAATGGGAACCTGTAACAAATATAAAGTAGGTGTTCTCAATTTGGCTGCAGAAGTGGAAATACACTTTAATTCTGCAGCTAATAGTGATTTATATTATTGCCAAGTGGCAACTATTTTCAGTTAGACGGTGTTTGTCAGAATCCTCATTCCCCGCCTGGAATTTCCCTAATGCATTTCCCAGTAGTTTACCCTGGCTTTAAAATCAAATTACAGACAACCTGTTGCACTGTATATGCCATCCCAAGCTAAACTTGTGCCCAGTGAAAGCAGCTAAGAAATAACTAAATACAATTGCAAGTATTATTTTAAAGACCAGAAACGTGTAGGCAAAAAGGATCAAAGCTTTTTCTGAACTCACCCTTTGACCTTCTATTTACCAGGCACTGTCACCACCACTGTGAGGAATGTAAGAAGAAATGCTCCAAGTCAAAAGAAGGGGCGGCGCAGCCCACCTCTACCTCCTGAACTCAGGTAAGCATGCTACAAATGACATGATGGCTAGCAGCTCCCCTGTCTTTTCCTAAATGCACAAGACAGGGCCCACTGGGGGAGGTGATCAAACCCTTTACTTCATTGGTAAATGCATCTCGTTTGCAGGTTTAAAGTATTACTGATTACTTTCCCCCCACTTTGGGTAGAGTATGAAATGGTTAAACCCATCAGGTTTTGTTTGGCCATCTGTGTCTGACTGGGTAGATTTCCCTCCACTTCCTGCCATGTAAACATAACAGGATGTGAGAGGAAGTCTTTGCAAAGTGAGGTATATTCCCTCTTAGACAGCTGTCACCAGAATAAGTGTCCCCATTGGAAGATTTCTCCTCTATTATGTTCTGGTGACTATGCTCACCACCAGGGATTTCCTCTCGTTTTCTATTCTGTCTATTGAGCAGGAAGTGGTGGGAAATCTCTCCAGTGGGGCACAAATGGCAAAAAACCTGACGGGTTGTAACCCTCCCTTACTCTATCCAAATCTAAAAAAAAATAAAGTAGAGCTGAAGCCAAAACTTTCTATGATTCATTGACCCTTGGTAATGTAATGTAATGTATGCTATGTTAACTGTGTGCCGCCCTTTCAGCCCTATTGTACAAAGCTACGGCCTTTGGTGGATGTACAAACTCCGCCCTGACTATGACACGTAACGTAATTGTAGAATTACTCTCAAAAAATATATTGCTGCAAAAACTCTCCATCTCTGAGATTTCTAAAGAAAGTGGAGGTGGTGTTCTTCAAATTCAAGTCTGCATAGTATGGGCAACACATGCATTTATCTAGGTATTCATTATTTTCAAGATGTTGTGCACAGCTTCACCTTATAATGAAAACTTGTGCTGAGAAAGGTATGTGGACTGCCAAAACTAACCTCTCCTTCTAAAAAATACTAGTTGCCCTCACACTTCATGATTTGCTGACCCAAAACAAGTATGCAAATACAGAGCTCCAATTTCACTGGCTGCAGGCATATTATATGTATGCATACATTGTGTATTTCCACTGTTCCAGTCAAATGTTAGAAAACCCCTCCTATGTCTGTTCCCGTGCACACAGCATAACTACAAATACGGTAATCATAAAAAAAAATATTTCTTACCCATTAGAGATGTTTTGCAGTAGCAGGCAAGATGGATGATGCCAGGTTTTTCTCAGCACCTTCACAGTGATCTTTCCTTATAGAAAGACTTAGGACTGAAATGTGAGGCTTGTGTTTCTGTCATTAACAAGAAAATTGTCCCCATTAGAACATCTTCCTCTCACCTGGAGGAGGCCAGCAATGGCATCCTCTAAGCTTCTCTCATGACAAGTTACTTTTAGGAAGGAGATAAAGCAAGAAGTTTAAATTCAATTTGGTCGTACTCAGATAGTGGATCAGATGTGGCATGCAGCAATTGAAGAACTTGCTGTTCATTTGTCAAGACAGATGATGGTGATAAAAATAGAAGCCTGTAATTGTATTTCTGTGGCTAGTGATTGGATATTGATCGGCAGTGGAAATCTACTTCATTATTCACAACTCATATCTACCCTACTGAAGCCTCATATCCACTGTGTGTGCGTGTGTGACTATTGGATATTGACCGGCAGTGGAAATCTACTTCATTATTCACAACTCATATCTACCCTACTGAAGCCTCATATCCACTGTGTGTGCGTGTGTGACTATTGGATATTGACCGGCAGTGGAAATCTACTTCATTATTCACAACTCATATCTACCCTACTGAAGCCTCATATCCACTGTGTGTGCGTGTGTGACTATTGGATATTGACCGGCAGTGGAAATCTACTATATTATTCAAAACTCATATCTAGGCTACTGAAGCCTCATATCCACTATATAAATCGCAAGGAGACCCCTACATCAGCAAAATATTAAATTCTGGTTGACTTGTATCTACATAATGGGCTGCAAGCTGTGTTGTCACCTGCTGTATATAGTGTGTAGTGCTTTTTCCTACTCTAGGGGTTGCCAAACTCCAGCCCTACAGCCATGGTAAAAAGTAACTACACATCCCATTATACATCTGCCTCTGGAGTCCTACCTGTGGCTGTCAGTCTTGCAATGCCTCATGGGATTTAAAGTTGCACCATAGCTGGAGGGCCAGAGTTTGCCTAACCCTGTCCTACTCCAATAATCCAGAAAGGCACAGATTTTAGATGGGTTTCCCAAGCAAGTTCCAACAAACAGATAAGACTACTACTACTTTGCAGTCCTAGCACAGACAGACATTAACAGAAGCCTGTCATTAGAGAAAACATTGGGGCTGCCATTGACCCATATTCATAAAATTGCTGGTTGCCATGTTGACCCTCTTATCAATGAGTCACTGCATGGAGAAAAGGTCTTTCCTCTGGACAGTGTAAATGTCTCGGACAGTGAACACCCAGGCAACTCAACAATAGTAGCCCACGTACAGCCATGTGTAATAGTAAGTACATCTAATGGACCGGTTGACTTTTTCAACATATTTGAACAGGCAAATATTAGATGTTCATTTAAAGTGACACTAAACTAATTTGTTAAATCTTAAAAATGCATTCAAGTAACCCAATTCACAAAAATGTATCTTATTTGTGTATCATTCATCTCTGCATTAGTGCTGACACTGTCCTTCCTTCTGGAGGGTGGCTACTTGTGTTCCCCATGGTCCCTGTGTGTGTTGTAAAGTAGCCACTGCTCCAAGCTCACTCCCTTGGACAACAATCTCGCGTTTAGTTTACTAACTTGTATTAAGATTATAGTCCATCACAGGAGCGAGCTTGGAGTGGTGGCTACTTTACAACACACACAGGGACCAAGGGCAACAAAAGTAACCATCCTCCAGAAGGAAGGACAGTGTCAGCACCAATTCAGAGATGATTTGAGGATTTACAGCCCAGTGATGTACAAAAAAAAGCAACATTTTTGTTAATGGTTAAGGTACATGAATGTATTTTTATGATTTAACAAATGAGTTTAGTGTCACTCTAAAGATGCCTACAGATAAAGGTGATTTACTTGAGCAAATCAGCCATGAAATTGACATGATACAGTCATTCTCCTAATCTAAACTAATTGAAATACATATGTCACATGGTAAAAGTACACTCCTACATTTACCTCCCCTACTATCCATGAACATTAGAACCGGGTGGTCCAGATTAGTTGCCAATGATTAGAGCCTCTTTAGGGAGGATGCAGCTGGAACCTGTCTTATTTAAACCTCTGATATCTACAGTCTGGTGATCTCTTTGCTATTGACTGTTATATGTGCTGTCAATGTCAAAATCACCGGAGCTTTCTAAGGCCCTCTGAGAGAAGGTGGATGCCTGAGTCTGTCAAGGGATTTAAAAAGAGCACCAAATTATTTGAAACCAATCATTCCATTTTAAGAGCCCATACACACCAAAATCGGAAGGAAATCACAGGTCAACTGAGGGTCTGTTGACTTAGGATTGTACTTCCAATTTCCTTCCAATCCATTGTGATACATTTTTCATCAGATTTTAATGTAAAGGCACCAAAAAGTGAATGGGGCTAGTTCACACCGTAACCGTTGCAATGAAAAAATGTGTTTGCATGCGTTTTTTAGCACGCAATAGAGCGGTGTGAACTATCCCCATTTTCACACATTAATTTTTCGGTGTCATTCCGTTAGCATCTGTTGAAAAGCGTATTACAAAAACAAATCCGGTGTGAACGGACCCTAACTAAAAAAAAGTGGCATAGATTTCAAAAAGCTAATTTGTCCAGGACTGGCTTGCCCAGAAAATTCAGCCCAAGAGCTTACTATTTCATGCTAAAGGAACTCTCCAAGAACCCCAAAATTTAATTGCAGAATTTGCAGGTAACTTGCAACAGTTGGTTTTAAAGTGCCCACATCTGCAATCGGAGATTATCAATTAAACCAGCATGGGAGGTGAACCAGGAAAAAGCCATTGCTGTTCAAAAAGTACATTAAAGCAAGAGTGCAGTTTGCCATTGCACATATAAACAAAGACCAAGCCTTCTGGAACAATGAGCTGTAGATTGATGAATCAAAGCGAGAGATGTTTGGCGCAAACCAAAGACAGCTTTTTAGAAGAACCTCATACCAACTGTAAAGCATGGTTGTGAAAATGTTATGGTTTGGTGTTGCTTTGTGGCTTGAGGGCCTGGGCAGCTTACAGCCATCAAGTCAGTAGAATGTGAGGCCATCTGTCTGAAAGTTTAATGGGAAATGGATCTTTCAAAAAGATAATAATCCAAAGAACACTAACAAATCTACCAAAGAATGCCTTTAAAAGAAGAAGAAATGGAGAGTTATAGACTGGCCTTGTCCGTGACCTAATCTGAAATGCTGTGAGGAGGAGGGGGGGGGTTTGAAACCGGAGGTAATGCAAGGCAGCCCAAAAACATTGAGTTGTCAAAAGTTTCACTGGCAGATACTGGTGGGCAGTTATAAAACATGTCATTTATTTGGTGTAGGGCAATACCGGCTTCTAAGCTCGTGTGTAATTAGTATTTTAATACAGTCACTGTTTGAATAAAGATGTAATATTTACCTGTTTTGCAAAATATATTCTTTCATGAATTTCAGCCAAGTCACTTTACATTTGCTAAATGATGCTGGATTATGGAAGCTGGAATACAGCTGCCCCTGTTCCAAAAATGTGTTTCCCAATTAAATGTATTCCATATACCCAGAAAGAGATCCTGGCAGCTCATTTTGGGACCGACCTACAGTTATATATCTCTGGCTATACGCAATAAAATCCGATTCTGGATCAGCAAGAAATTTCATGCAGTTTTTGGAAACTTAAATATTTTTTTGTTTTTTTTCCTAGATTTGACCACAACATGGACACAGTGACACAAACAAGTATTTGTTGTGTTCTCTTATTTTTTTGATATTTGTAATAAAATATATTAAAATATTAATGATGACTGTTATATTTTGTTAAAGCGACAACACCTGCCAAAAAGCTAAATGCACACTGCAATGCATATGCACCATCTAGTGGTTAAAATGCAATATGCAACAGAAGCACACTGTTTTTTTGTTTGAAACCTCATCTGTCTTATGAATTTACAGCATGGAACTTAATATTGTCTGCTTGTGCTATAGCTTTGCTTTTGCCAATCAGCTTAGTAGTTTGCTCTGGTTTCTTGTCACTACACTGGTTACCACCAATGCAGTACCCCCAAAGACCACATTGGAGAAAAGTGCAACAGTTTTGAGGGGGGTCTGTTAAAACTACATGTGACACACAAGTTCATACATATCACTGGTGAGACAGGATGTCAAGCCTAAACCCACAGCTTTGAATGGATTTCTCTGGGGCCATGTTGCTTTGCACTGAAAGATGAGAAACCATTCTGAAGGAAAAACATTCAGCAAAGACAGTTGTTCATTCTAGGCAAATTAAACCACAGGTTCTCCTGTGCACACTTTTTCAGATAGTGTATATGGGACACTCCATATAGGTATAGTTGTATTTTAAACAGCACATTTCAGGCAAACCTTGAGATTTGTCACAGACATAGGGGTGGTTTACTAAAGGTAAATAGACTGATCACTTTGCAAAGAAAATTGCACTTTGCTTGCACATAATTGAATGATAGAATTCAGCAGAGCTTCACCTCATTCACTAAGCTCATGAACATTTCCCTTGCACAGTGAACAGCCTATTCGTCTTTAGTAAAAAAAAAAAAGCACTGTTTGTATTTTTTGATGCCAATGGTGGGTGCACAAAAAATAAACGCCATAGCGAACAACAAAAAATAGTGCGTGTGAACACATGCACACAAGGAGATAGGGCTCTTATCCCTGACCCTCTGGGGTGCAAGACTTCTGCCAGAGCACTTGTGTCCATCTAGCCAAAGCCAGATGGATCCATTCCATTGAAATAACCAAAGTCAACCACTAGGTACTAGGTTGGGGGCTCCCCTGGTCTTAGCCATAAGGCCTAGGCCAAGAGTCATAGTGCAGAAAAAACATTTGGTGTCATGGCCTGAGTGCCTTTCACATGGTGGAGTCCCCAACCCATAGTATTACTCGAGCACCCCCTGGGCGCCACTCCAGGGGGGGTAATGCTAGATAACGAGCCCATGACCAGACCAGGAATCTCGTTTAAATCAGGAGGCGCTGGGACTCTCCAGATTGCTGACCAAAGAAAGTACACCTGACCCCCACTATTACGTGAGTGGATGCTCAATTTAGTTTGCTTAATCCCAGCTAGGACCCTTTGGGACCCCCATAGACTCCGGTAGGGTACTCTGCAGCCAGCCAGGAACAGAGGCACATTTTCCCTCCTGAACACTGATAAGAACAGATACTACACTTATATGGAAGAGTAAAAAATCCCCAGTGTGTGTAGTAGCAAAAGCTTAACTATAATGGGTATCTTCAGCCAGTCTACTATTCTACTTAGCCTGTAAGGGTCCAGCGCAGAATTTACAGTCCTGGTTGCGGTGTATAAAGTCAGGAGGGGCTGCCAGTATACTTCACATGAGGCCAGGCGGTAGAGCATGTTTTAACAGCCCATGTCAATCGGCTATTGTTTGTTTCAAGTGGGCTTTGCATTCTCACATGAATATATGGGGAATCAAAACCTGCTAGAAGCAGGCCATTAGAAGGTTATCTGCAGGGCAAATGCACCGGTCAATTAATTCAGAATCTTCTCAGAAGGGTCTCATACGGATGCCATTGACACAAGCCTAAAGCCTGTTGACACAGGTCCTTAGAATGGCTTTTAGTGAATAATGACACGTGCCATCCCCCCCCC